CGAATGGGCAGAAAATTATTAAATTAATTAAATTAATTCATTAAATTAACTCAAAAAGCCTCTGACTGAGGTTTTTAGGGGGTGAGGCTGAAACGTGACAGGTGATATTTGGTGTTGCTTCCCCAAAAAGCATCTTATGGGAGGGGGGGGTGGCAGAAATGCTGCAGCCATGGGAGGGTCAGAACCAGGCAGGGCAGGAGGAGCTGACACCCCGGTCATTTAGGGTTTTTTTTTCCCCACTTGTCTGACACCCCCTCGTCCCCCTCAGCCCCATTGGTCGGGACACGGCCCCGTTCTGGGGGGGCAGAGCCGCTCCTGGGGGGCACCGGGGGATCCTTTACCCCCTCCTGAAGCTCCAAGCGCCCGAGGGGTCAAGTCCTGGTTTCTGGGGCTGCCCCCACAGTTGCTTTTGGGGTCCCGCGGGGGCTGCGGGGGCACGGGGCCGGACAGGACCGAGGGAATGTCGGCGGGAATGTCCGCGGGAATTCCCGGCTCGTGCGCATCCCCTGCCGGCCGCGGCGCACAAACGCACCCGATTTCCCTCCGAAAAGGGGGAAAAAAACCGGCCCCAAATCCCTTTTGCCCGAGCAGAGGAGCGTTTTGCCCAGCTCGGGAAGAACAAACCACCCAGAAGTGACGTGGGACCCCCCCCCAGCAGCCCCTGTGTGCCATGTCCCCCTCCCCAAAGCCCTCCAGGGTGACTGGGCAGACTGGGAGCACCGGGAAGCAGCCCCAGGTCGGTCCCAGGAGCTCCAAAGCTCCGAAATTTGGGATGGAATCCCAGGGGGAAGGGACAGGGGTGGATTTCACAAGGTTTTATTACAAAACTGAACAAGGTGAAAGAACAGAACAGCAGCACTGGTGGGGATCACTGACCAGTATCCAAGGTGGGATCTCCTGCTTCACTCCTGAAGGGCAGCATCATACTCTTAGATGTATACAGGGTTAGGGTACAACTGTGGACAGTTAGAAAAGCAGGATGAGTTCTGGGATGGTTCTAGAAGGAGAAAGAAACCCAGAGTCTCCAGTTCAGGCAGCCACACATCGGCTTCCACATCATGTCCCCTCCCTGCAGGCTCATCCCCTTCAGCCCAGGCACTGAGGTGACCCTGAGGGGTTGCACTGAGGTATCCGTGGCACCAAACTCTGAGGTGATGCAGATAAATAACTGCAAGGCAGGTGGAGAGCTGAGGTGTGCTGGGAGAAGATGCAAAGCTGTGAGTCTTCAGGATGGAGGAGAAGGTCCCCTTCCCACCCTCTGTCCCAGGCGATCCTGGGGTCTGTTGCAGAGGTAAGGCCGCTGAGCCGAGCAGAGCCCGCTCCTGAAGCGCCGCTGGTCCAGGTACGCACACTCTGAGTCACCCAGGATGGGGACCCTGCAAGGAGGGGCAGAGACAGCGCTGGCACCACAGGGGGGGACAGTCTGTGCCCCCCTGACCCCCCAAACCCCCGGGACTCACGAGGAGTTGTAGCTGCTCGCCCCATCTCTGCAGCCCGAGCCAGTAATCCAGGTTGCCACTGAGGCGGAAGAGGAAGCCCTGGGAGGGAGAGAGGAGCGGGCAGTGAGAGCTGCCCCGGCCCAGGAACCCCCCTCAGCCTCCCCTCTGCCACCCACACACCCCCCAGAGCCCCTCACTCACCATTTCCTTGTCACTGAGCACGACCAGGGAGGCCCCGAGCTCGGAGCACCGATCCCGAGCCTGCTCCCAGGTCCCCTCATCCCTCGAGAGGTAGTAACAGATGCTGTTGTACTCGACCCAGGCCTCGGGACAGGCCAGAAACTCTGGAGCCCCGGGCGTGACTGGAATCTCTCCAAGTCTTCTTACTGAAGGAGGAAAGGGAGAAGGTCAGAGGATTCCCCTCCACATGGAGCCCAGCCCTGTGCCCAGAGCTGCTTCTGAGCTGAGGTAGCTGCTCCTCCTTTACCTGCCAGCACAGCCACGGCCACCACCAAAGCCAGGAGCAGGAGCAGAACCACTGCCAGGGCGAGATGCCCCGGGAGCCTCGTGCCTGGGGCAGGAAAGAGCCGTGAGGACGGGGCTCACATCCCTCACAGGGCTCTTCCAGACCCCTGGAGCAGCCTCACACCTGCCAGCCCTGCTCTGGTGGGTGACACTGTCCCCTCCCTACAGGACACATGGGTGGCCCTGCAATCACCCAGAAGGTGTTTTCTTGTTTGCTGATCAATCCTGGGGACCCAGGGGCTCCTTCACAATCCCGTCCCCGGAGCAGAAGCCACCCTCCACATCTGAACTCATGAGTGCCCTCTCTCTGCTTGTGACAAGCTGCATCTTGAGCCATCAGTGGTGCTGGCAAAGCCTCTTTCAGCCCAGGCTTGGGGGTAGTTTTACCACCACTGTTGAGGCAGAGTGGACACACCATGATGAGAGGACACGGCTGGGCCCTGTGGGACACTCGGGCTCAGGAAGGCAATGCCAGCAAGGTCCTGCCCTGTCCGTTCACAGTGACCTGTGGAGAACAAACGGGAGCTCAGGGTCCGGCTCCTGCAGCCTCAGCCCTGTCCCCGGTTCCCTCATGGGCCCTTCCCAGCCCAGGAACAGCCCCTGCCCCGGCACTTTGGAGCATTTCCATGAAAAGATTCTGTTTATTGGGATATACTGATTATGAGAGGGAGGTGGTTACACCACTATGCAAGTCTGGGCTGTCCTAGCGGCCTCTCACAGAATCATCGACCAGGTTGGAAAAGACCTCCGAGATCACCAAGTCCAACCCTGTATCCAACCCCGCCATGCTTCCCAGACCATGGCACTGATGCCACATCCAGTCGC